TAATAAACAATCTTGATTAGCTTGTGGAAAATGGGTCAAAAACACCCTCAATGTTTGTTGTGAGGTACATATATATTCATGAAGTTTTTTTAGGTGCAAATATATCATTAACGTTTGCTAGTAGTAATGTATAGAGCAATGCTCCCTTATCCACGGTGAACACATGTTAATATGCTCACTGCTTATGTGTCATGCACACATTGGTGATGTATATTTTTAAACATATTAACATAACCAATGTTTACATGCCACGTAAGCGGTGGACATATTAACACGTGTCCACCGTGGGTAGGAGAACATTATTCTTAATGTATATATCTCCAATGTTTGTTGTAAGGTACATATATGTCCATGAAGTTCTTTATGTGCAAATATGTCATTAAAGTTTGTTACTATTAATGTATATCATTGCTACCCGTATGCGCTTTAAACATTTTGTCCAATTACGTCACTCAATTCATTGTTTCATGGCCATAAAAAATACTTGCATGACAATTGACAACATCTCTCGGGACTTCATCAACATTGTAAGCAATTTTTTCCTAAATAGATAATAATATTTTCAGTTTATATTTTTAATGTCCTTTTTAAATTATTTGTTGAGTATTCTATTATTCTAACAATCTAAGATATAAGTGAAATTCTTTTATTCATATTTTGTGTCCCCATAACATGCCAATGGAGATTTGAATATATCAAATTTTAGGTTTTGTTAAGAGTTCTATTTTATATATGGTTTGCAATATATTGTTTTTCTCCTATAATTGAAATAAAGCGAGAAATATATCTACCATGTATAATTTAAAAAGTAGTATTCACATATGTATATGAATTATATTGGAAGCACAATAGAAAATTAAATTTGCATGCCTTTTAACATATTTTGAAAGCACAAGTTTCACCTCTAGCAGTTAAATTTGCATCCATTGAGTATTTTTTGTTAAGAAAAATATATGAAATCAAACAATCTCATTTTATTAGCCTCCGTATAATCTTAAAGTAGTATAAGTTTTGTGTTGGCAATTATTTTTTCTTTTGACAAACAATCTCATTTGACAAAACAATTTCAAAAGTATTTTGCCTTTTTGCGTTTTTGTGTTTTTTCATAATTTACTTTTTTTTTGCATATCTAAAATTGTCAAAAGAATTATTAGCAAATGTCTACGTCATATTAAATGTATTTTTGGTCATAAGTTAATGAGGGGTTAATAGAGCTATTTTCCCTATGAGGAAGAATGAAAACATCATTATTGGTTGAACTTTAATGGTATATTTGTACCTGAAGAAACTTAATGGACAAATATATACCTTGCAGCAAACATTAAGTGTGTTTTTTAACCCATTTCCCTTAGCTTTTCAAGTTTGGCAAAAAAACTGAAACTTGAGCCTATGAAAAAAAGATAATTGAACTACATCGCAACTTAGAAGAAAAAAAAAAAGATCCAAAAACGAACCGAAGTTCTTTTACTAAAAAATAATCAAGCATAACCGCACCGAATGTACGATTCGACTCGACTTTCAGTTTTGTCTCAGTATTTCTGTACATTTTATTTAATTTGATGCGGTTCTATGCAAAACCTCATTGAACCGAACACAATCGAAAAACGAACTTATGATAACCATAACAACACCACAATGTAGATAAAACCGAATCAAAATCGATGTGAATTTTTTTTTTTAAAAAAAAATGTACCACACTGTATCGAATTGCACCGCTCTCCCTTACTATTGGCCAACAATTCAATTCAAATAAAAAATATGTTCTCAAAATTTTCAACAAGAAGACAGTACCTAACAACAGACACAAAAAAAAATGAGAAATTTGCACGATGTACTACATTTATAAATTTTTATTACATAAAAGAAACCAAATCTTAAATAATAGCAATTCAACTAGTTGAACCTGT